TGTCAGGGACAAAGATTCAGCTGAAAATGAGTGAAAAAGCAGCCAATGTCTTAAACAATCTTTGGAAATCCTGAAGAACGATTGCTGAAGACCAATTAAAAAAATTACAAGAAAAATATTTTTTAAGAAATAAGAGGCAAGTAAAACATGTGTACTGTACTTTCTTGTCACAAGTGCCCTGTGTAAGGGCTTGTTTTAGCCACATGCTAAGCTTGAATTAAGTTTCTTACTTTTATTTTGGATCAACTGACTGTTTTTAGGGAGCTTTCAGATAACAAGTCCAGGCTATAAGTAGCAGATGCATGGATTAGCTTTTCAGCTTCACTCTGAGACAGGACGCTTCTGATTTTGACAGCACTATGCAGATAAAAGAAAGCAACCCATTTGTTAAATGCACAAGCTGAAGGATGCATCCTGATCAAAAATGACACCAAGGTTACTCATCATGCTGCTGCAGACCAAAGTAATGCCATCCAGAGTCAGAGACCATGTTCTATTAGAAGGAGAAGATTACATGCCTTTAGTTTCACTCATTGAGTTGGTTCGTCTAACATGGTGTGAGCTCAGTGATTTCAGTGGAAATGTATGCAGTGTTTTCTAAAAGAAACATGCAATGAAAAACTGCTTAATGTACAAATGTATAAAGTTTTAATAGCTTTGTTTTTATTTTTCTTCCAAAATACAAAGATGCAGATGATGAACAAAAGATCTGACAGTGAAAATGGATCCACGGTGAAGAGCCCGAACCAGGATGCAGTAATAGGTCAGACTTTTCTCTCCTCTGTTCTGTCACAGTCTCCTTGAATAGTTTTAGATGCCTCTGACTCGGTACCAGTAGCAATGTTAATGTGTCTTTCAAACAATGATAGCATTAAGGTTTCATCTGTGCTTACCGTTTTACAGTTTGCAGACAGAAGTGAAGACCAAATTTGACACACATGTGTAAGTCATGAACATGATAAATATGCCATGAGCAGTCAAGCAAACATGCAAAATGCTCAATTTTGTCAGTTTGTGCTTTTGCCGCCACCATATCTCTGTTCATGTTTTTCTTTTAAAAATCGGAGCAAATCATTCCACCGTGGCTTTACACCATGCAGATTTTGCTCTTTAACGGTAGGCTTGACCACTCATCTTCACGGACTCATGCACTAAAAATCTGCATGCCCAGGCTCATCAAATCAGGATAAACGTATTCACTCGAGCTTCCTCATGGCCAGTTTTACTGTGAGTGGTGGATCCATGATGAATCTGCTTCAGCTGTTTTGATTCTGTGGACCAAACTGCTGCTGCAACCAAAGACAGCTCACTGCCCTGCAGAGGTGTGAAGCTATATGACGACCATAACGCATGGCTGACACACACTTTTGCTTTCATTCTCACACTGCCCAAAAAAGTCTCCAGATAAAAGGAGAAGCTTCAAAACCAGCTCTTTATGAAAAAAAGATTCGTTTGAACCTTTTATTTTAGTCTTCACATTTATTTATTTTTTCTACATCTCAAAACCGCAAAGATTGGAGATTTTCCCCACCTATGTCCATATCTATCCTTTAATTTAACACCTGCCTGTTAGAGATTATTAATGAGACTTACACCTTGCAGCTTTACAGGTATTGTGCACATGCATGTCTGCTTAGTGTAACTCTGTAAGTATTTAAATTGAACTGAATTCAGTGGTCATTACTGGGATGACTGGATAAAATATTGCCAAAATAATGCAACATTAGCATAATAAAACACACCATTAAGATCATATAGAATTTGTTAGGAAGTAAAAGAACATGGGAGTAAGAAGCCTGTTCATTTGAGTCAGTGAGAGAGTTAAATACAGTTTGATTACATATGAAGTAAAAACAATTGTAATATAAAAGTATTTTACTGTGTATTTTACAGTTTTGTACTGTTCTTCTAGAATATCATTAAATTTACATAAATAGACTGATTTCACATTTCAAATGTAAATTAACGTAAAATCACTATAAATGTAATAAAACATAATTTTCTTGTTTTTTTTAAATGTATTTGTCTGTACATATGCATATTTAGATTGTTAAAATACATTCACAAATGTATCATGATTTCACAAATATTTGTCCGTTATTTGAAAGATTGAACTGTTAAATTTAAATGTAATGCTATGGAAAGATATATAAAATGATCCGTATAAACTTTTTTTACATCAAATGATAATTATTATTAATGTTATGTAGGGCGATCGTGGCTCAAGAGTTGGCAGTTCGCCTTGTAATCAGAAGGTCGCCGGTTCGAGCCCCGGCTCGGACACTCTCGGTCGTTGTGTCCTTGGGCAAGACACTTCACCTACCATCTACTGGTGATGGTCAGAGGGGAATTATGAAGTGGAATTGTAAAGTGCTTTGAGGGTCTCATAAAGCGCTATATGAATGCAGTCCATTATTATTTAAACCAACTGTTAGCTGTATATTTCTGTACATTTAAGTATTATTATTCATATTGCCGCATTCTTTGACCTTGTTTATAGGTAATTTCATTGTTTAATCACATTAAATTGTTCCTAATTTAATGTTTAAAAGCACTTGAAAAAGGCAAAATCCCATGTAAAATTAGGGCAACAAACAGTATTGTCATTACTGAAAATAACCGTATTTTCATGGGAAAGTTATTTTCTGGTATTATTTTGGTGCCCCAGCTGCTGGAATATTACTGTTTTTTTAGGATTTTTTTTTTACATTGTGCATTTGTGAGCGGCATAGACGGCACGTTTGAGCTGAAAACTAATTATTATGGTTATTATTGTCCCTTGGGACTTTTTTTCCCCTCTGAAATACACCTCTGCACTGTTTAATGTTCCAACACACACACACATACTCACCCCACCATTTAGTCCAACAATCTCCCGCCAACTGATAGCTGAAAGTTGGTATGCTTGCCATAATAAGATGGGGTGCAGATGTAATTTTCTCATGCAGAGGGCTGCATGGGACTGAAATTTCAATCTTAGTTTAATAATGTTCAAATTTGGGCACACGTGTGGGAGAATGCTCCCTGTAGTGGATGTTTCAGTCTTTGATTCAAACTGGAATATCTCAGCAGCTGCTGGATGGGACGGCAGTGGATTTCATGCATCTGTATACAGTGTACAGATGGATCCTGGTGACTTGGTCAGTCTATACCTTTAGGAGCATACTCAGGCAAACTCTGGTAACTGGCATGTGAGAAAACAAGAAAGATCTGCAGTACATCCATTTTCCAGTTCACCTAACATGCCTTTGGACAGTGGGAGGAACTGGGAGTATCTGAAGGAAACTCATGTAGGCACAAGAAAAACATACAAATTCCACATACAGAAGATCCCAACAGATCTGGATGTTTCGGTGTAGGCGTAGACGTTTAGTTTGCTTCTTGAACTGCAATTACATTTTTATAATCTGTTATTTTTTTATGAAGCAAGGCCACAGCTGCAAACATGGGTTCATATGGGCAAATCAAACTAATCTCTCTCGTCCCTTTTTCCTGTTATCTGCTGGTTAAAAATTTAAAAATTCTGCATTTTGACCAGTTTGGTCCTTAAAGTTCTAGACTGACCGTCCCACTGGATCTGTTCTAATTACCCTTTTGAAAACAAATGCACAGACACATTAGGTTGGGTGGGTTTTTTTACCTGTGTGATTTAATACCAGAGAATCAAGAACACACCAAAAACACTCATGTTCTGTGCTAGGCTTGGATTGCTGCTCAGTAATAATTTGGTGTAGATGAAATCTCTCACAAAGCAAGTTTAAAAAGCATTTAAGCCTGATGCTTACTAACGAGGTGAAACTAGAGGTGGCAATTTATTTAAAAGCAGGCGAGTGGGAAAGAAATAAGAGACGAGGAGTAAAACTTTATTTGGCTCTTTCTGCTTTGTGGTCACTCACTAAATTAGAAATAGCGGCTTATTAAACTTTCCACATCACTCCAGTGGAGGACCGGTGACAGACCGTACTGAAATTTCATTGGCCAGAGTGACACCATCGGCGAGGCGCTGCAAATATCAAGCATGTTTGATACGGACGAACGCTTGCCCTCGGGGGTTAATCACCTCATTAAAATTTCAGCGCTGCACCAGCTAAGCACGATCAGCCAAACTACTACTGAGTGAATTAAGTTTGCCTTCAGCTGTGAGCTGAATTATACCACCCAGACTCCAAAATGCTGGGCCTGATGCAGACTCGACAGAGCAGCTTTCAACTTGATGCATTAAAGCGAAGAGGCACAAAACAAAAATACCACAATTAAATTCTCATTTTCAGTCACATACTTTACTGAGAAACTTTCTGGCTGTGCATTGAAGCCACTAAAGTTTATCTTAGCCGCTCCTCATCCAACTGAAGTCTTATTTTAAAATCCAGCTGAGATAAAAACATGTTTTTATTACCCCCTTGTCATGGTCCAACTCATGAGCCATGAAAAGTAATGGCAGAGACACAGTTTAATGCAAATTTGTTAGCTAAAAAGAGGCAAAAACTACAATTTTATTAGATGTGTTAGTCGTCAGGAGTGCTTGAATGTTAACTGTAGGGTGGAGTTTTGTATAAAACCTCAAATAAAAGGTGCACGATGAATGGAGAGGATATATTGTGACAACCAGCTCATAAATGTGCTACAGAGACCAGCCAGGTGCTCCCAACTGCACTGATTACCAGGAGCCTGCAAGGCAAAACAAAGGGACAAACAAGGGAATGCATAATGCAGGACAGGCTGCTGCAGCTGGGCCGTCACACGCCTGTAAAATTACATGTCTTAAAAGTTTTAAAGTTGTTCGCATGATGGAAATGGACTGGTATTTATTTGTCAGGGTGCGCTCGCAAAGCGTGCAGCTTCATAGTCACATCCACCTTCAAATCACCAAGATCAAGTATTCATAATGGGCAACATCACGGTGGCTACGTCCGTCTTTTATATAGTCCATGTGCTTATCACCAACCAAAGTGCTCATATAACCAAACTAGTGAAACGTGCCACTGACCCGATATGGATAGTCATATGTACAGCTAATATCTGGACAGCATGCGGCGAAACTTTGAATTGTTCGATCCATACGATATGATTCCTAGTTTGGTTGTTGTCAGGATCTCTGCGGGAGGAGCGGGGCATCCATCATCTTTGCCATAGATTTGCAGCATTCATGGAGTGCCGTATCTGCTCCTTACATAATATCTCCCTATATAACTTACTAAACTATATCATAACGAGTGTGCTGCTCGTTCTGCAGGTAATTATTATTGCCTAATAACAATAGCACCAATAATAATCTAATTTTATAAACCAAAGATGCATGGCTGGTCGTGTAAAAAGGTGCAGGTTTATCAGCCAAGAGACCCTGTTTCATGCCCTGTTTGACTCTCTATTAGCCCTTTTAGTACTGACTTGGGTCAGCTCGACACAACTCCATTAAGTCCATTAGGTTTTCGATTAGATCATAGTACCTGGCACAAAGATCCAAGCAAATCCAAAAATGTGATGTCAACAGACTGCATGCCACAAATTGGCTAACCAGTGGCGTCACCTGATGAGTCATAAGACGTTCTCCTTCACGAAAATCAAAACCGCCCTTTTTGACACTCGGCAACAAGGTAAATAGCTGTACAGAGTCTCGTGAAAAGTCACACACCGAGAGGCAGGTATAACATCACCTTGGCATCCACAACATTTGTGTCGCATACAAATGATGTCATAGGATGTTTGGCTACGTTGTTATAACGAACGTGGAAGTGAGCTCATGTTTGAGGCCACTTGCATTCCCACTCAACAATTAGAGAAAAGTTTAGAAAAAAAAGGTTTTTCTATTAAAAGTAGTCTTTATAGCTGTGATTTCAGAGTATTGGGAGGCTGGGCATACAGAAGTGAGTGATGGCAAAGGAAAAGGCTTTGTATGTAAGGCTGGATACTAAGGAAGGTGTTGATTGGCTAGGCAGAGAGATCAAGCTGGAAAGAATGTGCAGCAGGTTACGGTACAAACTCCTTTAACCTCTTAAACCCCAAGCCTAACTGATCTCCTGCCTTTTGTCCCCGTATCAGGGGGCGTTGGGGCTTAAGAGGTTAACCAGCTGCGTTTGTCTTTAAGCACCATCCAAAGGACAAGATTACACATGAGTACATCAGAGGGACGACTCAGGCTAAGATGGTTTGGACACGAAGTTAGAGAAGCAAGCCTGAGATGGTTTGCAGAGAAGGAATAGCGGATGTACTGGAAAAAGGATGCTACATATGAGGCTGCCAGGCAGGAGGAAAAGGGGAAGCCTGTAGAGAAGATTCATGGATGTAGTGAAGCAGGACATGCAGACTGTTGGTGTGATAGAGGAAGATGCTGGGACAGGATGAGATGGAGGCAGATGATCCGCTGTAGCAACTCTAAAAGGAGCAAGACGACTGGATTTCCCCTTTCTGGTCTGTGTTTGAATAATTTTTCTGTGATGAGTTTCTCTTTTACATTCAAGTCAAACTAGTCAGATTTTATTTTTGTTTTCAAGTTGATTTTCACTAACAAGATGCTCTTTACTGAGAGGTGTAAATTGCTGCCCAGCCCTTTGACCTATTAAGATGTGAACATCAATACCTTAAATCAGGGCTGTCAAACTCATATTACATCTTTGGTCACATAAAGCCCACATTGACCTTAAGTCAAACCAGAGAACCAGAGAAAATTCCCCTTCTGTCAGTGTAGAGAAATGTAACTATGCATTCAATCCCAATAAACATAAGAAAAACAACTGCAATTTCAACAGTATTGAACAGTCTCAGTTTTTCAATGTGATAACGAAATGCTGCTGATAAAGACAATGAAGTGAAAGCAATCTGCAATCTATTTAAAAACAGAAGTTTTTGTTAATTCACAGTAAAACTAAAACAAATAAAATAACATTTTTGTTTTTATTTTGATCCTATGGTAAAACAAAACAAAACAAAAAAAAGGCAGTTTCTATAAACAATAGAAAAAAAGACTTTTCTGTCATTTAGTTGTTTATCTATTGCTTAATTATTTTAATGCAGTATGAATGGCTGTTGGGTGGTCTTCATCAGTAGGAAAGGCTGTAAAACCTATGAAGAGATTTTGACAATTTGATTGTTGTTTGACACCACTGCCTTAAACTTATCGAAAACATACCCTTAAAGATGACCTATTGTGCTTTTTCAATATTTTATGTCATATATAAACTATTCATATTAAACAAGGCCAGTGTTTCAAATAACGAGGTCAGTTTTTGTGCAAATAATCCCTGTGAGCCAGAAGCTAATATTTTAGACTCCATCAAATGCTCCAATTCTGGCAGTTTTTTTTCTGTTCTTGGCTCTGTATGATGTCACAGAGAATAAGAAGATATCCCTAATATTGTAATCAGGACCCACATTAGTCCAAACCAACTACTAAAATAATTTGTCAAGTGACAGACAACCAGTTTGCTTAAAAGGGGAGGAGCTAAAATGGTTGGCTTTGAAGTATGAAGTCGGGAACTTCTATAGTGAGTAAAGGATTATTTTGAACTGTAAATCATGCAAAGCTACTGCAGTAGAGTCAAAAACTGAAAATACAGAGCTGGAAAAAGCACAGTAGGGACACTTTAAGTGAAACTTTTCTGCTTAAACAGAAACCATGTCATATTATTTTTATGTGTATGCTATATCATTTTTAAATACTAAGTACTGCACTGTTATCTTCTGACATTAAGCAGCTATTGATTGTTCTCAATACAGCTGAGGCTTGTTGTAAGCAATCAATTCTCAGCCTCTGTGATCCTGTCTTTCTAAAGAAGACTTCCAACCTAAGACCAGACTAATCAATAACATTTCTGTCCTACTTCTCCACTGTTCAATTATTTGTTCTTGTTTGTTGCTGCATCCGTACAAGTTTACTGATTTAAACATAGCTACTTAAAGGTATTATTTAATATGAGGAAGCTGCAGTGGATGACTGTAATCGATGTTAGAGATGTTTTCCAGCTGAGGCTGTAAATTTAAAGAATTACAATCTACTGAGGTGTTTCCAGAGCTTCTGGTTAAAATGTAACTTAATGTTTTTCAGCATTATTGATAATGGTTTTACCATTCCCCTTTCCACATTTGCCTATTTTCAAACATAGCATGACTTTTAATGTGATCATTTTAAGTTCTCAATTAATCAGGGCACAACAGCTTAAAATCAGAATTAGAAAAAAATGAAGAAAAACAGGCTTGAAGAAACCCAGAGGAGCACTCAAAAGTCTCATGCGTGCACATCTTAATTAATAAAGGGGGCACAGCTGTTGCCTCAGCTCCACAGTGATTGCCTACAGGCTTCATGCTTCAGGCTACATATTAAAACATGAGTCTGCATGACAACAGCTTGAAGAAATATTTTCTTATTTCAATGATGTGCACGCTAGATGGGTGACTGGAGTGATTCATGTTGCTTTTGGTTTCCTATGATTTACAAAAATGGTTCTCTGATGCAAATGTGGCTGAACAGTGATGCAAAAGCTAAAAAATCCAGTGCAATTTCTGCATATATTAGTCTTAAATGAGTTATGCATTTTGTTGTTAATACACTGAATGCTGTATGAACCTTGTATAACAACTGAGAGACCAGTAAATACTTGAATATCTGTATAGTGAGTTTTAAAAAATTACTTGTGAGTTAAGTTGTGTAGCTAAGTTACAGCCTCCTGGAAAACTGCCATCATTCTGGCTATTACTGTATAACATAAATGTTCTAAATCTTCACTTCATTCTATTACATAATTTACTGATGGATTAAAAACAACACTGACCTTACATGCAAGTAAGTATCATGGATTAGGTTAGCTGATGAAGTTATTTGCCAAGTCATCCACTTAACGTTTCCACTCAGATTCTGTGAGCAGTAACGTTAGCAAGCAAGATGTGGTTAGCCATCTAGCCATAGCATCTAACATAGGTAACTGGTATTGCTGAGTTTATAATGTTAGGTGATAAAATAGTATGAAATTGATAGTCAGTAGTTTGGATGACTTAGCTGACCACTTTAAGACAACAGTTGTGTGACATAGCTAGCAATTCATCTGCGTTAGCAGAAATACTAGTGTTAACTAATATTAACTGCCTTTCTCATTAAGAGGAAAGACAACTTAGCATTACATTTAATGGTAAACATCCTCCATGATCTAATATCATGTTCATGATACTGTACTTTTCCCAGATGGTCAAATCCTTATTTGGCCAGGTAGCTAATTTTATCTTATCTCAAACCTTCACCCTCCACATGAGAAACTGGTACTGTTGTTCACTGTTGTGAATAAGCTTATAAAGAGATAGCATTATTACTGAGTTCAGCTTATTGCTGTGGCCCTTCACAACAGTCCCAGTTTCTCATGTGGCCACTTGGGTACAGTAATTGCCCACCCTTTGCTTATCGGCTAATCCAAACAGATTCCTTGATAGCTTGATTTAGTAGCTATCTAGCTAAACTTAGCTTACTTTCTTACTACTGTTACTAGCAAATTTCTACTTGAAGCAACACCAGTATTTATTTTTTAATTTATATTCTGAGTTTGTCTTTGCTGTGCTGGAAGTTGGTGCTTTGATGATTTTACTGATTAGTGTGCTACATTTATAAGCTAATATTAGCCAATGCTGCTTACCAAAGCATTACATCCTTTGAATATTTGTGAAAAAGGGCTCATTTTTCATGTTACTTTATATTTTCAACAAAAAGTGCTTAATACATTTAAGGATTAATCTTACACCCGTTTAAATAATGCATACAACAGAACCATTTTTGTTTAAGATTTCAAATATTTTGTTAATTAAATACCCCCAGCAGCGTGTATTTGTATTTCATGTCACATGCCATTGTATGCATTTCATATTCACCATGTGACCAGTGCATGCTAACAGTCAGAGCCATCAAACAATATCTGTAAAATAAAAGCAGTGGTTCAAGTGGACTTGATTTGGCTGAGTCATTTTCTGCTGGAGAGCAAAGAAAGCGTTACCCAGCCTCACACTTATATAATTAGATTGGACTGCTTTTCGACTTGGCTTTTAAGGCTTTTGAAAGTTAGACTGTGAAAGAGAGGAAGGAAAAGACTAACCATGTGTTGCAAATGACCAGAACACAAGGATTGAGCTGCTTAAAACAGGCAAACAGTCAAGATATGTGGTAGGAATAACAAGGAGGCACGAGAGAATCAGTTATGATACTGCAGAGAAGATCCATTATTATTGATTGATAAAGCTGCCCTCACTGTAACAGCTCCTGGAGACACAAAGTCAGCTAGAGTACCAGATAAATGATTAATATCTATATTCATGTACTGTACATATTTATTTTAAAGGTTACTTTAATGCCACTTCAACCATGGTCACCCCTCTGTCTCATTCCTGATGTTCTCCCTTTTATTCCCTCCACCCTGAACCACTTCAGCTGTTCTCCTTGTGCCGCAGGCTCCGGCTGCAAGATGCGAACGTTGGACAGTGGAATCGGGACCATCCCCCTTCCTGAATCCTGTTCCTTCTTCTCCTCCATCCTGCACCTCCTCCCCAAATCCTCATCAACCCCAGAGCAATCCCTCAGTCCTCCCAGTGTCCTTGGCTCCTCCAGCGAGGACGCATCTCCTTCCCCGTTACCCCGGTGGAGAATTCCCTCCAGCTATAAGGACGGCAGCCATGCAGGGGTGCCAAACTCTCTGTCCGATTCCTCCATGACCCATATCCAGTCAGTGCCTTTCCCCACTGTGGCCTTCCTCCAGCCCATCCAAACCCCGTCTGAACCCATTATGACCTCTGCCAGTGTGTGTGAAGCCCAGAGCAGGCTACCCAGAGCACCACAAGGTACGGTAAAATGACCAAAGGTACAGCTTTGAACTTTGGACTGCAGGAATAAAGCTTATAGTAATGATGGAAACTTTTATGCTCTTTTACTTAATCTTTCTTACTTGTAGCGTTGCTGGTATAATGTTCCGAGTTTGATCTATGTGACAAACACTTATCTTATACTTGATGTAACACCCACCAGATCACCAGCAATCCATTTAGAGTGGGTTTTGGTTTAAATTTCACTTTTTCAGTGGAAATTCCACCTGTTTGGAAGTGCCCAAATCCAAATGGAAAATCTTTTATCTGGAAAACTGCAAATTCCAAAATTTATGAGACTTGTAAAATATTGTCTAGTAATTTCCCTGTTTAGCATGTGGCTAAAATAAAACCCAACCATCACCCCAGACAGGTCACTGGTGACACAGTGAATGTAAAGAGGTTAACTCCTCTAAGGTATACGTCATCATTAGTTATGACGCAAACCCCTTTAGATGTGTCTATGTTGGAAGTGATTCACTCATGTCTCATCGCTTGGAAACTGTCAGTTGGTCACGATCAGATATTCAAGGCCACAGTTGCCTAGGTAACAATCTATCGTATTTACTACCAGGTCACATGTAAGCAGTATCCTGAGATATCATTGGTAGCCGTTCAGTTTCTCAACTAGAAGGTGTGAAAACTTTACCTTAGGTCCCGCCAACTGGTCCCAGGTCAACTTTCTTTGGTCTGATCACCATGTTGATCTCTTTCACTTTGTGGATGCAGCGTAATCATAAGTCTGTGTTTTATAACAGAGTAAAAAGGATTTTTTTTGAAAGACATGAAAAGAGTTTGATGGATTTTGCAGTTATTTTTTTTTTTACTCCTGACATTTTTTTTAAATGATAAAAATGACATATTATATTATATATATTATATATTATATTATGATAGAATATGTTTAGGGTTAGGGTTTGAGTCTTCACCAATGACGACTCAGACCTCAGAGGGTTAACCCTGTGTCTTTGCAACAAATACAATGGCTTTCTTTTTTTTATTTAAAAGTTTCTGATATGTCTCAGTTGTGGTTTGTTTGTTTTTTTGTGTCCTGATGGTCAAGACTTTTTGGACACAAATCTACTGGCTTGATATCTTATGGTTAGTGGTTGAGACTTCTTATCTGTGAGGATATGGACCTAAAAGGGATGCATTTCCATCATGTTAGCACACAATTGGGATCTAGGAAATTTAGAGGACAGGTGAGGACCTTGGACTATTTGTGGGTATCCTCAACCTGTTCCTCAGCAGTATTTTTGTTGTCATTTGGCAAATTATCATCCTTAAATCAACTCCTGTCACCAGGGAGTACCCCTTGTTTTTTTAAGGTTCCTGCACCAGATCAAAGATTTCTAAGACATTAGTAAATAAAACCAAATGCTATGAAATTAAGGCAGAATAACACCAAAATAATTTGGTAAAAATTAGGTACTTATTCAATTGTCCAAAATTAAAAAAGATTCATTTTAATGGGTGGTACAATATAATCCAGGTGTATCCCAGGACCTAAGACTTTCCAGTAGAACACTTCTTTGTATCAGTGTTATTCACTTCACCTGTCAGTGGCTTTAATGATGTGGCAAATTGGGATAAGTAGGCACTGTGATTTAAAAAGATGATCTTGCTTTTTAAAGCCTCTTAAAGAACAGGCTTTATTCTTCACATTTACTGCTCATTTCTTTTACAAAAAGCATATCCAGAGTAAATCTCGCTTCATTCATTATTATTCATGTATCTATTGAGCACTTAGCACATAAGGAAATTCCCTGAAGATCCACTCACATTTATCCACACGTTCTCTGCGTTATTCAAGGTTACCGGGGAAACTGAAGATTCAAAGTTCAATATTTACCTTTATATAAAAGATTGCTGGAAGCGATCACGGTGTCGTTACAACAAGCGGAGCCTTTATCACGGTACTGAGAGCATATTGCACACATGGCCTGCTCAGTATGCTAATGACACGGCATGTAGCAAAGGAAAAACACTCATGTTGTGAAATCAAGTACTTGATTTCACACCGAGGCAGAAAGAAGCAGGTTTACATTTTGAGGCGGTAACTTTTAATCAAATGAGAGCTTAAATGAGAACTTTTGATCGCTGACTTTATAAATTAACAAGTTACTTATATAAGCTAATATTAATCACAGCTCATTAATCATTTTGAAGTGCTATCTTTGGCAGAGTTATTAAGATTTTCAGCTGAAATTAAAAGCACTTTTTTTTCCTTTTCTTTCCATGGTGAACTCTATCATTCCCTTACTGGTTTAGCCAGTTTTTCAACCAGTCAGCACTTTACCTACGCATAACACCACACGCTGTTGGTATTTTGGAAAGTCTGCATTTTTGCATAGCCAAAGACCTACATAAGCAGACACCAAAGGGGTACCATAAATACCACATCACGCTATAGTTCACAACTCATTTGTTCCTTTTTTATTTTCCTTGTTTCCCCCCAATCCCCTTTTGCTTTTACTTGCTGATTACGTTTAGATGCTCAAAAACCCTTTTTTATAGTTTATAAATCAAATATGATTTGAGTTAAATGCATTTATTCCTAACAGTAACCCCTTTACGGTGAGAAATTGGTTGTGGTAACCAATCAGGGAGAGAGGCTGATGCAAAGTTAACACAGGAAACAAAAGAAACAAACTTTTTAATTAAAAACAGGAAGTAATCAAAGGAGATTGATAGGGACATGAATAATAACAAGTACCCAAGGAAACTTACTGATAATGGAGGCTAGAAGACCTACACTAAACATCAAGATAAAGTCAGGGGAACACAGGAGGACAAAGACAGAAAGATGTGACAGAGGGATGAACAGAAGGGAAAACACTGAGGGAATCTTAATAGAAACCAAGACAAAAGACCAAGAAACAAAACACAGGATGCAAAACTGAAACTAATCATTAGAACAACCAAAAGGTAAACCACTGGAAATAAAGCTTGTGATCTACTAGATTGTTGAAATCAATGCAGGGAACTAGAAATCTGCCAAACACAGAAGTCAAACCTTCAAAACAGTTGTAGTAGTAAGAATAAAAATATTCACCTGGAATTCCAAACCACAAAATAACAAAAATCCCAGGACAGGTCCTCTTTCATAGGGTCCATATTTAAAAGTTGGAGGACTTATAGTAAGGCCCAGATTTGTCACCAGGACAAACCTCCCTATCAGGGAGCAATGGGTTTTGGAGTTTGTCTCTTTATTATTCAGACACTGATTAGGACCAAGTCAGTATTTGATGCCCTGAGACTGAGGATATGTTAAACCTGCATCCTTGATAAGCAAACAGTTGAGAACCTCCTTTTCCTCATATTTCTTAAGAAAAACTGTTTAATTTTAATACAAAGAGCTTATGAATAGGATGAAAATGAAGGACCGTCTTTTAAGATAGACGAATTTCAGATATGCTGACTATGAGAGAAAAATTAAAAGCAGGTGAAGGATGAGGGAGAAACAATAACTTTTATAAAGGATTCATAGTTGAATTAGTTTGTATAGATAAAAAAATGCCTCAGATCGCTTAACATATGGACCATTTAGCTTGGTTAGACCAAGAGGAGCAAATAAGTGAACAGTTAATGTCTCTGACTGTTTTTAGGTGAAATGCATATTTAAATGTTTGTCTACACAGGACATCCCGCAGTCAGAACAGTTTTATTTAAGCATCCTAAACTGTCACTCCCTATCTGAAAAACATGTCTTCATTTGCATTATTTTTCACATGTGAGGTGGCTGTTTGAGCCAAGCATTTACCGTCTTTCTGGATGTCAGCTGCAGCTCCTTTAGCGTTTCTTAGATCTGCTGCCACTTTGAATTCAGGATGATAATCGTGCTCTCTTTGAAGACGTCAGCCTGTCAGCGTCAAGCAGTTCTTCTAACTCCACATTTGAGTCTTGTTCTTGACATGAGTGAGAACATTGAGAAAACAATGTCTAAAATTAGTTTTATTTCATCCTTTCAGGTGGATTGGAACCAAAGAAGTTGACCTATATTAAATCGAAAACACGAGCCACTCCGAGCCAACAGAAAGAACAGACGAGACTTCAGCTGGCCAACTGTAAGACACCACATTTATTTAAGAGATAGTGTATAGTGAGGTCCATATATTTTGAACACTGGCAACTTTTATTTTAGTTATCCACAATAACAATCCAGTTATAGCTATGTGGTGTGATATGCCCTTAAAGTGCAGACTTGGATTTGAACAAATATGATTCTGGACTAAGTGTAATTGGGCCTTTTTGATTCTTGAGACTGATCAGTGGTTTGCATTTGCTCTTTTCAAGTCTTTTCTTTATGACTTGGGTAATTGTACACCTATCTCCTGAAGAGTGTGATCCAAACGACTGAAATATTTAACCGCAATATATAAATAATTTATAATATGACCTTTCTAATGTTGAGGCTGGTAAACCTAACTCCTGAAGAATTTTCTTCACTCAGCTAAATGTTGCAAAAAGAGTTTTTCTTTAGAAAAAGAGAGAAATCTTTGTTTTATGATTCACGGAAACAGCTTCCCAACACACTTGGAATAATCTCTGGACCTTTTACTGGTTCAGTTTATGAAGAAATATGAAAGAAATCTCTAATGCTGGTCCATTAAACAACATTTGATTTAACTGAACAGGCATATTTGGACAACTTACATGAAAATATGTGACTGTGTCAAGCTTTGCTGCGTGGTGGGCAGGATGTAGGACCCAAATGCAGGAAGTAACGGGAAGTAAACTCAAAGAGGCAGCTTTATTTTGACTGTAAACTTTCTGTAAACTAGACATTGGGACCAAAAACTCCAACTGTAAATTAGGAAACGGCTAAGAACACAGAGGGAAAAACACAGCATAGTGAGGGTGCAATGCAACAAAGGGCAAAGAAAAACACAGGTCTTAAATGCACAGGCAAGACGACGAGAGGACCAGAAATC